CGCTGCCGCCACCGCCGCTGTGCGGCTATCGGCTCCGCGCGCCCGTCCGGCTGTCTGTCGGTCCCCGAGCATCCGCGCGCCGGGCCTCTCTGGCCGCCTCGGCCCCGCCTCCTGGTCGACTCCTCCTCTCCCTCTCATCCTCTTCCACCTCCTCCTTCTCTTCCTCCTCCGCTGCCGCGCGCAGGGCTGGGCCGGGGGGCGGGCTCTAGCTCCCACGCGCCGGCTCCCGTTTTAAGGTGCTGAGGCTCCCGCTGGGACTGCGCGGCCGTCAATCAGAGGGGACCTGGTGACTGCCTCTTTTGGAGCCTGGCTCCACTAGCGACGCAGACCGACGACCAGGGATGGGCGGATTGCCGGGATGGAGGGAGCTGGAGGTCTGGATGGAGATGGGCTGGGGCGGCGGGACCGGGAACGCATTGCCTGCTTCTCGGCGTCCCCAGCTACCACCTCCTGCCAGACCCGGGAGTTGCCACCACAAAACGCTCGCGTCCCCCGTGGGCACCCTCCTCAGTCCGTCTTGCTCTCGGTCCCTCTCTCAAGAGCTGCCTCCAGCGTCCGCAGGGGTCAGAGCAGAGAGACCGCAGCGCAACCGCGGGCACCCCGACCCGCAGAGGCCCGAGCAGGTGCCGAGCGCACGCCTGGGGCCTTCCTTCAGGGTGTTGGGCGCGCAGCCCCCGTGGGCGCCCTCGCGGAGCCGCCGTACAGCCGCGTAACCCGATGCAGCAAACTGCGCGCTCCGGGCGCCCCGTGGGCCGGCTGGCTGGGAGGCGCCATCGGGGACTTCCCCACAGCCGGCCCTTTCCCGGGCCTCCAACCCCCACCGCGCAGTTTGCCGGGACAAGTGCGTCCTGAGGTTGCTTCCGTGCTCCCCGAAGTCGTAGTGATTTGAGACAGGGATTGGAGTTTGAGGACAAAACCTCTTGTTTCAATTATCTGGTGTTTCAGGTGAATGGTTTTTTCCAAGACTTGTCATGCGCTAGAGGGGGGAATTTTCTGTTTTCTACTTGGGGGCGAGGGCTCCCCCCGTGGTGTTGGGGAAGTTGGCAGGCTCTGCTGGAGGGAGACTGCTGGTGGGGGCTGCTGGTCAGTCTCTGAGCCAGTGAGAGACTGGGGTGGGGATGGGTCTTATGTCCTGGCCTGAGTCTCAGGCAAGAAACCCCTCTAGGGATACTGCGGTGGTGGCCCCAGGTGGGCGTCAGGTCAGGGATGTGGTCTGAGCACCTGCAGGTGGGAGCCAGATGCCTGATGCTGGGTTCTGCGATTCTCCCACCAGCCTGGAGGGGGCTGGGGGTGGGGCTCTGTTGGTCACTTGGCATAGCTTTCCTCAGGGTGAGGGGTTGGCCGAGCTGGGGGTCACCTGCCAGAAGTCCTAGCGGCTGGGGGGATTGGGGCAAGGATTAATGCTGGACCCATCTGAAGATTTGGGAGGGGCGGAGTAACGATGGAGAACCCCATGAGCAGCTGAAACCAGGGAAGGTAGGAGGCTGAGGGCAGCCTGGTTCCTTCCTCAAACTCTGGGCCCTGTTTCCAGATACGCTGAGGGAAGGGTTTAACCCATCAGCTCTCCGCCAGTGCATTGCTGCCTAACCCCCCTCTGTTCCTCCACTGCAAACTGGAAGTTTGGTGAGCGCACAGTGTCTTGGGGGGCTTTGGCCAGAGTTTCCAGAGGTGCCGCCTCCTCTCAGATCCAGCCCCATTTGATGGGAATCCTGCCAGCCTCGGGACCCACCTTTGCAGTCCTTCCAACAGGGAATGAAGGCCAGGACTGCACAATTTCTCCCAGGCGGAAAACTGCCTGGAGGCCTGTGGAGTTCAGGAGGAATGGCTGCTCCCTGCTCAGTCGGCAGATGAGTGTTACCCTGGCCTCCAGCACAAGTCTGCCTGGGAACCACTCACCAGGCCCGGCTGTGTGACCTTGGCAAAGTCGCCTAACTTCTCTGTTCCCCAGGTTCCACCAGGAAGAGGAATAAGAGAGATGATCCGGGTGTTGTCGAGTGTTCAGAGAGGGTGACTAGGTGCCATGCACTTTGTGGAGTGAATGGCTAAGAGCCATGTGCTTTCTGGAAGGTTCTGGAAATCCAGCAATGACTGGGATCCTGGCTCTCAAGGGCTTCCATGCTGGGTGTGAGTGTTCGAGAAGACAGGCACGAACACATGGATAAGCAGTCACAGGACATCAGGTTCTCCTTGCTCTGGGCCCTGCAGAGAAAGGAGCAGAGAGGAGCTGTGGGCTAACGTGTCTGCCCGTGCTGGCGGCCTGGTGTCCACCCTGGCTGCGCGTTCAGCAGGGCCTCACCCTCCAGTGCATCCTGGCCTGGAATGCAGGTGGGCTTGTCTTTGGCAGGGATGAGAAGGGTCTGGGTGAGGCCCTTTCTAAGGAGGGCCCCTGGACTGGCCCCTGGCGGGGGTCAGGCATAGGCAGGGCGGAGGGACAGCCTGGCGTGGACAGGGCCCATGGTATGTGGGGTGTGGTCTGAAGCGTTCGTGGGTGTCAATTAGGATGAGGGGCTGGAGTGGGGGCACCCTGGGGGTGGGGAGTGAACAGGCTGTTGGAAGGAGTGTGGCACATTGGAGAGGCAGCAGGGGGCCAGGGTGGGGCCCAGTGACCCAGGGGCTAGGGGAACTGGCCATGGGGGGACCTCTGGTCTTTGATGGGAGAGCAGTGGCAGTCAGTGAACAAGCCCGGGAAGCATTTTTAACAGATCACTGCAATCCCACTGTGGCCGGGGGTCTGGGGGGCACTTCCTCCTGGGTGTCCCTCCAGGCCTGACAGAGCTGCCGGGGGACGTGGAGAGAGGTGGGCCAACTCCACAGGCGCACTGAGGCCGATATGAGCAGTGGGGGCTGAGGGGGGGCCAGCCATGGATGACCTTCTGCCTCTGGGACTCAGGACTGGGGGGGTGGGGACCGGGTTTGAGGAAGAGAGTACGCTGTAGACATAGCCAGCGTGGGGGCATTTGAACCACTCAGAGGGGTGTCCGGCAGGCGTTGATGGTGACGTGGAAATGTTAGGTGGGGGTCAGTGGAGTACATTGTATTGAAGCCACGGCACAGATGAGATTGGCTTTCAAAACGTGGCCTGGAGCACAGCCCCAGCCGTGGCTGCAGGTTGGCATCCCCTGAGGGATTAACGTGACGTCCGGGTCCCAGCCCAGGGGTTCTGCCATTGTCGGTCTCCCATTGGGCCTGGGCATGGGGCTGTCTAAAGGCCTGGCCGGGGAGCGGGGGCCTGGGCCAGTCTCCCAGTGTCCAGGTAATTGAGAGCCTTCAAGAGCTCAGAGGAGGGCTGGAGGCACGGGTGGGCAGATGCTGGAGCCCAGGACCACTGAACAGCCTCCATGGAAGGCCCACCTGCGGTGGAGCTGAGCATCCAGTGTTGGGAAACCCGCCACCAATCTGGCCAGGAAAGCGGGTCCAGCGCAGGGAGAGGCACCGTTTTTGGTCAGACGCTGCCACCTGCTGGCTGCCTGGGAGACTGCGTGCCCCCGCGGGCCTGCTGCTGCTCAGAGCTGCACATTCTCAGGCCCGTCGCGGATCCGGATCAGGGGGCGCCTGGTGTCTGCATGGTGGGGAGTGGAGGAACCTGTTGTGCTGTCACTGAATTCCCTGTCGTGGGGTTTGCACGTCACGGCCTTGAGGGCTTCTCCTGGAGTTCCAGCTGATAAGGCAGATGCACCACCTCTGGGCCCCTCCACTCCTGTGGGCCAGGGCAGTGCGGGGTGTGAGGCAGCTCTGCACTGACTGCGGTGTTTACTCGGGCCTCAGTTTCCCCATCTGTGGAGCGGATGGTCTTGATAAGGCACACGGTCTGATGGCTGCCCCCAGGGGTGAGCCTGCCCCCAAGGGCTTCTTGGTGTCCTCGAGGCTGTCCTGAGTCGGGGGTTCCCTCCCCTTCCCGGGAGCCACTCTGTGCCCTGCAGCCATGGGCCCTGCGTGTGGCCCTGCAGCTGTGGGCCCTGCATGTGGCCCTGGCCTTTCCAGATCTGGCCTGTGACAATCAGATGCCGTGGCCCATGTGGGCACTCAGTGGACGTCATCGGCCGCCCCTGCTGCTGGGTTGTGGTTGTTGGGTCTCAGGGCAGGGGGTCAGGTGGGGCGGGTGGGGGGGACGTGGGGCACTGTGGGGTCACCTGGGGAGCCAAATGGAGAGGCCTGGTGGGGGGTGCGGGAAGGAACAGAGCTCTGGGGGTGAGAGAGCTCTCTGCCTCTGTCAGGCCTTGGGTGGCCACCTTCCCTCGTCTGCAAAATGGAGAGACGGGCACGGTGAGAAAACCACTAGTGACCCCGAAAATGCACCCCGTCCTCCAGCAGAGATAGAGGCTCCAGAAGCTGTCACTGATGACCCGTCTTCTACAGGATCAGAAAGGATGAGAGAAAACACCGAGGGGAGGCCGCTGACTTGGACCCTGAACAGAGAGCTCGTGGCTTCTTCAGGGGCTGCACCCGCCCGCCCGGGGTCTGGACTCCACCGTCTCAGTGTCTACGTAAGCACTTTGTGTGGAGTCCCTGGCACTGACTCTGGGGGTGTTTCTCCTTCCTTATGTTGTCATGACGTCTCAACAGTTTCCTTTCAAACATCACTGACACGTAGCAGATTGTAC